TGGTTAGTTTAAAGAGACTCCCGGCATTCAAAGTTTGACAACGCCTTTACCTGTAAATCATAGCTACATGATTCTTGGGTAAAAGCTAAGCAAAAAGCAGAGTGAAAGACTAAATAAATAAAAAGGCTCAATAAAAGAATTTGGAGGGACTTATAGATTGTTCGTTTTATTACAATCTGATCATAAAAGACTATCCTTACAGAATGAAAAATCGCGGGGAAAGCAGATCAGTTTTATTCTTTGATGTCAATAAGTAATAACAGTGGTAACATTTGTAATGTTGTGTATACCCAGTTAGGTAAGATGATAGCTTCTAAAATTAGTTGTGTGGAGAACCAAGCACGATGTATTTTTATTAATGGGGTAGAAGATTTGAGGTGGTATATGTAGTGTTTTGAGACAGACTATGACGTAAGCTAGATACTGATTTGTGTTACGGATAAAGATTTCACAAGTATTTGCAGTTTGATAACGCCTTAAACGGAAACACGTTTACACGAGAAATATACCAACCCAGTCGAATCAGAATTCATGAACGAAGATATTCAAAGATATATTTGATAGGCAATCAATATATCGGGAACTGATTATCCAGGGTTGACTAGTGGTTGTAAGAAAAGTTTAGCACAGCGTATCTGATGCAAATGCGTGACTGGGAGTCTTCTCAGCTAGGTTAGTCCAGTAAAATATAATGTGGTCAGCAACAAATATCGAAGGATTTCAGATCTTTTTTGGGATTTATTTACCGCTACAGATCATTCCCTCTTGGTGACGTAGTAGTAACCCTAAGATATAGCCAGCTGGACGTTTAAACTCAACGAGTTTGTTGTTGGTAAACACTCTTTTGGCGGCTTGCTATGTTCAGCAGCGTCTATTCGTCCTCCCTTACTATTAGGGACCATGTGATACAATGTAGTAATGAAAAACAAGTAAAATAAATATTTTGGTTCTTCGTCATCTTCATCAGTTTTTCATCTTTTGGAGAAGACTAAGGATCCACGAATTCTCCTGTGAGTCGAAGTGTCGTTCCATAAGCGAGTGGAGCCGCAGTGTATCCAATGTCAGCTTTCACAGCATTGCGAATATCTAGTAAGACGAGTGGAAGAGCGTCGGTCCACTGTGAAATGTTTGCAGCTGATAGTGAAGCTTTCAGCTGTCGGCGAAAGCGCTCTACCAACCCGACTGCTTGCGGTCGTTAGGAATCGTGTAATTTCTAATACTGTGGTGAGTAAACGGAAAAGTCCGGAATCAAACTTGCGTCCATGGTCTTTTAGTGTTAGTTAAAGGGTAGCCGAACCTTTTTACCCACCGTTCGACGAAGGCGCTAACCACTGTTTCAGTAGTAATATTGTTCACGTGTACTAATTCTGGCCATCGTGTGAAACGGTCTACATAAGTTAAGAGCTAAGGATATCCACTAGAACCTAGTAAAAATCCAACTTAATGCAGATGGACATGATCGAAACGAGCGTTGGAATTTTCGAATTAGCCCAATAGACAATTGTTGTGTATAATTACTTTAGATTTCTAGCAGCTTACACAGAAGTGTGCCCATTTCCTCACGTCCTGACGCACACCAGGCCTGAAAAATCGTTCTGCTATGCGCTTAATGAGTGCACGTAGACGTAGACGTAGCCTTCATTGATTTCAGCAAAGCTTTTGACAAGGTCCCGCACAACCGGCTGTTATATAAGTTAAGAAATGTCGGGATTGGAGGCGATCTATTTATGTGGATAAAAGACTTTTTAGTTGGGCGTCAACAAAGAGTTCGGGTGAACTCAAAGTTATCTTGCTGGGAAACTGTGCTTAGTGGAGTGCCCCAGAGTACAGTTTTGAGGCCAGTGCTATTCCTCTTGTATGTAAATGACCTTCTTCGTCTCCTATCATCATCGGTCTTGCTATATGCTGACGATGTCAAGATATGGAGAACGATACGATGTGAGGGTGATAGCTTAGAACGCCAAAATGACCTGAAGAAGTTATCTGAATGGTCTCAAACATGACAGTTGCCGATAAATACTTCCAAGTGTGTTGTGATGCATATCGGTCATCAAGGCACAGATACATACACGATGAACAACACTGAGCTACCTGTTGTCCATACACATAATGACTTAGGAGTCATCGTTAGCCGAGACTTAGATAATACTGTACACTGCTGTGCAACAGCCGCCAAAGGATTTAGGACCTTATGGTCAATACGTAGGGCTTTTAGTCATGTCGACGCTAAGACGTTTTTGACTTTGTATACAGTGTTCGTATGTCCTAAACCTGAGTACTACATACAAGCGGCTAGCTCCTGCTTAAAAAAAGACAGTGAGCTTTTGGAAAAGGTTCAGAGAAAAGCAACTAAGCTGATTCCCGGAATAACGAAGCTTCAATATAGTGCTCGATTGGCCAAGCTAAACCTTTTCCTGTTGTCATATCGCAGAACTAGAGGTGACTTGATTACAGTTTTCAAATTGCTTAGTGATAAATTTGCACCCGATATGCTCTAACTTTTCTTGTCTCCCAAAACAGAGAATTTACGAGGACACTCCAAAAATGTTCACGAGCCCAGAACAAATTACCTGTCAGCTGACTATCGACTTTCCCATCGAATCGTCAACGAGAAGAACTCTTCACTTCAACACGTGGTTGAGGCTCCATCCGTCGACTTTTTCAAAAGAAAGTTGGATCAACTGAGAGACCACCGTTGCAAGGACTAACATAGGCCATCAAGCCTCCTGTCCTTTCCAAACTGAAACAATGCCGCATGGGCCAGTTCATGGAATATGATTAATTGTGCGCGCTGTTGTCCTTGGCCTTGACGAGACCACTGTTTCATCGATATTCAATGATCCGACCGAAGGATGACTTTGGCTAGGGCTCGGTGGAACTTCAACGGCCCTACAATGGTCATCCATCTGTATTTAAAATATCTCTTGTCACCCCCTATTCAAAACGGGATCACGTAGTGGTATTACTAACTATAGGCCCATCAACTTGACATCTGCGCCATTAAAACCATGAAAACATCATCCACAAATAGTTATTATCATTTTTATTTTCGGAAGCTGATTATCCCATCTCGACGTGGGTTTAAGACCACAACGTTTATGCATCACATCACCTCTAAAAGGTTTTGATCAATTTACTCAGATACGACGAGGTGGTCGGTCAATCACAATCCTGCACTACGATTTTAGTAAAGCCTTCGACGGTGTTTTCACAGCGTACGGGTTCTTCCTTCCACCCAACCGTTGGTCTAACACCCAATGTGCTTCTGGTACGTCGCAACCAATCAACAGTAAAACTTCTTCACAGTCTAGGCTATCTATTGGCACATCACTTAAATGCGGCCACTTAACTAGGTTGTTCATTGCTGACTTTGTTGGCTTATGACCTGGTATACTTGCTACAATCAGAGCTCCTTCAATCGTAACATGTTCAGATCGATCTAAAGAATATACCTCAAAAGACGCACTCGTGACCTTCATTGTTCTATTACTGCCCACAGTCTCAACTACCACTGATGCTTGGTCTTCGCTCAGCCCGAGAGACCTCAAACAGTTTGATTTTATCAGTGTCACATCAGAACCGTTGTCCAAGAGAACATAACCCACAATCTCGGCTCTACGCGATTTCAACCGTACGGGAATCATGCCTAAACACACTTGACTGATTAGTGATTTAGTATATCCGCAGCAAATCGAGATACCAGGTTTATCACTTTCGCTGTGCAACAAAGAATGATGTTTCTTTTCGCAACCATTAACGTTACAACGCTTTGTCAGCTTACATTCAGTAACTCTATGTCCTTGTCTAAGACAGACGAAACAGATACCCTTGCTTTTAGCGTGAGACCATCGGTCTTGAACTGTAAGCGCTAAGAACTGGGGACATTTATCAATAGCATGGTCGTAGGAACACATACTGCATTTAGTTTTCGTTGTCGAACTATTCCCTTGCTCCGATTGCACGTGACAGTTCGTCTTTACGTTATGTCCTTTTCTTGAACGATTTGCTAACCGTCCAAATCTACTACAAGCCACTCTCGCACGCGATGCGATAAACTGAGTGAGCTCGCCAAAGGTCGGTTCCCTGTTATCTTCAGTCAATTCATCCACCCAGTTCGCCCACCGGGTTTGCATAGGCTGAGGCAAGAGTCTCACTATTCTTTCCAAGGTAACTAAGGAATTTAGATCAGAGACATAATTCATCTGTTCCAAGATCATAGCACAGTTTTCCATTTTAATAGCCAAGTTTGATAGTTGCTCTCCGTCGGTATAATCAAAATTCACGGCATTGAATAAGTCTTCTAGTGTCTCTCGAGCGATTACATGCGCCTGTCCGAATAACCGTTTTAGAATCTCTTTGGCCTTCTTGTAACCAGAAGAGGCTTCCAACATAATACAACCCTCAATGGCTGTTTTCGCTTTACCCTTACAATAATGTATCAAATAAAGCAAGCGTTGATCATCATCCTTGACCTTTGATTCCACATAGGTCTCAAACTCCCTTAAAAACCTCCAATAACCTCTAGGTTGACCGTCGAAATAACTTAACTCAACCTTTGGTAACTCTAGACCTACGAAAGGTGCCATAGGCATCGCGCTTTTCGCTTGCTTTACGTCTAAACTAAGGTTTTCTATTCCATCTGCCATTATATCACAACTAGATTCACTATAATTACAACCGTCCCTATTAGAATATGAACCATGACACATAGAAGCACCATAAGGCACTTGCCTTGATTCAGGGGATCCATCCTTTTGTTCATCTCTTTTAGCTTCCACGAGCCTTGGACTTAAGTTCTTTCGACGATCGTTTGACATCGCAAGCGAACGACCAAATATTCCCAGAGACAATGATTGAAATCAGCGAAACGAAAACCAACGAATTCGACCAAATTATTTGTTTAGAACTGTAAGATCCAAACTACGGTTTGGAGTGAAGGACAGCTGTCTGGATGAGTTAGATACGCGCCCTCGCCCGATTGAAACCAAAACAAAGTAATTGGGTGAGATGACGGTTCTATAATTTATCATAAATTTAAGTGTACATTATTACCTAAACAAATATAACCACTCAGCTATCCAACCAATAATTGTTCAATTGATCAAATCTAAACTACAATAAATAAGAAAGTTGATAAAGGATGCAAGAAAATTACCAATCACCACAAATAACTGTTATTCTATCCTGTCTGGATAGATCACGTACAGATTCGTTTAAAAGGTAATAATTGGTCGCTCTATAACACAGAGTGTTTTCAATTCTGGAAGAGTGCTTCAATTCACAACCAAAATGCACAATTCCAATCAACACAGGTCGAGCAATCAAAAGCAAGGATAAACCAAAATGACTGCCGCCCAGACTTAGTATAAAGTAAAACAACATAAGTGCAGTTCGGGAAGAAACATGAGGAATTAGTGAAGGTGTAGTAAAAACGAAAACTATAATAAAATACAAATATTAACAATTCAAATGTAGCCAAAAGTTAACAATGTACAACTAAGAGGATCAATAGGAACAAAGTGCAAGTATATACATGGAGGGATTTTCAGAAACACACAAAGCATTCAAAATGGATCTTACACCGGCCCCCAAAATTCCTCCATATCACACAAGCTACCTTGATGCCTATGGTCATGTTTCATTATGTAGCATATGACACTATAGGAACGAGTAGGACTTACAACAGTACGCCTACTCGACCTACCTACATTAATAACAACAAAGACTAATCCGAAGCTTCAAGGAGATCTGTTTCACTTGTTCTCTGGTGTTCAACAATAACACTCGTGGTATAGACCTAGTCACTCTTCCCCAAACTCCACCCATGCTGTTGGATGAGGGCCTCGCTGACAATTCACTATTTATCTTCTGCTGATTCGACTGCTGCACAAACTTCCTTAACTTAGAAACTGCCCACACGAAGCTTGACGCAATGTCACTGTAAATCTACGGAGGTCTCCTTCTTCTTCTTCTTCTTCCAACCGTCCACCCCAGCAACGTTTTCACAGCGTACGGGTTCTTCCTTCCACCCAACCGTTGGTCTAACACCCAATGTGCTTCTGGTACGTCGCAACCAATCAACAGTAAAACTTCTTCACAGTCTAGGCTATCTATTGGCACATCACTTAAATGCGGCCACTTAACTAGGTTGTTCATTGCTGACTTTGTTGGCTTATGACCTGGTACACTTGCTACAATCAGAGCTCCTTCAATCGTAACATGTTCAGATCGATCTAAAGAATATACCTCAAAAGACGCACTCGTGACCTTCATTGTTCTATTACCGCCCACAGTCTCAACTACCACTGATGCTTGGTCTTCGCTCAGCCCGAGAGACCTCAAACAGTTTGATTTTATCAGTGTCACATCAGAACCGTTGTCCAAGAGAGCATAACCCACAATCTCGGCTCTACGCGATTTCAACCGTACGGGAATCATGCCTAAACACACTTGACTGATTAGTGATTTAGTATATCCGCAGCAAATCGAGATACCAGGTTTATCACTTTCGCTGTGCAACAAAGAATGATGTTTCTTTTCGCAACCATTAACGTTACAACGCTTTGTCAGCTTACATTCAGTAACTCTATGTCCTTGTCTAAGACAGACGAAACAGATACCCTTGCTTTTAGCGTGAGACCATCGGTCTTGAACTGTAAGCGCTAAGAACTGGGGACATTTATCAATAGCATGGTCGTAGGAACACATACTGCATTTAGTTTTCGTTGTCGAACTATTCCCTTGCTCCGATTGCACGTGACAGTTCGTCTTTACGTTATGTCCTTTTCTTGAACGATTTGCTAACCGTCCAAATCTACTACAAGCCACTCTCGCACGCGATGCGATAAACTGAGTGAGCTCGCCAAAGGTCGGTTCCCTGTTATCTTCAGTCAATTCATCCACCCAGTTCGCCCACCGGGTTTGCATAGGCTGAGGCAAGAGTCTCACTATTCTTTCCAAGGTAACTAAGGAATTTAGATCAGAGACATAATTCATCTGTTCCAAGATCATAGCACAGTTTTCCATTTTAATAGCCAAGTTTGATAGTTGCTCTCCGTCGGTATAATCAAAATTCACGGCATTGAATAAGTCTTCTAGTGTCTCTCGAGCGATTACATGCGCCTGTCCGAATAACCGTTTTAGAATCTCTTTGGCCTTCTTGTAACCAGAAGAGGCTTCCAACATAATACAACCCTCAATGGCTGTTTTCGCTTTACCCTTACAATAATGTATCAAATAAAGCAAGCGTTGATCATCATCCTTGACCTTTGATTCCACATAGGTCTCAAACTCCCTTAAAAACCTCCAATAACCTCTAGGTTGACCGTCGAAATAACTTAACTCAACCTTTGGTAACTCTAGACCTACGAAAGGTGCCATAGGCATCGCGCTTTTCGCTTGCTTTACGTCTAAACTAAGGTTTTCTATTCCATCTGCCATTATATCACAACTAGATTCACTATAATTACAACCGTCCCTATTAGAATATGAACCATGACACATAGAAGCACCATAAGGCACTTGCCTTGATTCAGGGGATCCATCCTTTTGTTCATCTCTTTTAGCTTCCACGAGCCTTGGACTTAAGTTCTTTCGACGATCGTTTGACATCGCAAGCGAACGACCAAATATTCCCAGAGACAATGATTGAAATCAGCGAAACGAAAACCAACGAATTCGACCAAATTATTTGTTTAGAACTGTAAGATCCAAACTACGGTTTGGAGTGAAGGACAGCTGTCTGGATGAGTTAGATACGCGCCCTCGCCCGATTGAAACCAAAACAAAGTAATTGGGTGAGATGACGGTTCTATAATTTATCATAAATTTAAGTGTACATTATTACCTAAACAAATATAACCACTCAGCTATCCAACCAATAATTGTTCAATTGATCAAATCTAAACTACAATAAATAAGAAAGTTGATAAAGGATGCAAGAAAATTACCAATCACCACAAATAACTGTTATTCTATCCTGTCTGGATAGATCACGTACAGATTCGTTTAAAAGGTAATAATTGGTCGCTCTATAACACAGAGTGTTTTCAATTCTGGAAGAGTGCTTCAATTCACAACCAAAATGCACAATTCCAATCAACACAGGTCGAGCAATCAAAAGCAAGGATAAACCAAAATGACTGCCGCCCAGACTTAGTATAAAGTAAAACAACATAAGTGCAGTTCGGGAAGAAACATGAGGAATTAGTGAAGGTGTAGTAAAAACGAAAACTATAATAAAATACAAATATTAACAATTCAAATGTAGCCAAAAGTTAACAATGTACAACTAAGAGGATCAATAGGAACAAAGTGCAAGTATATACATGGAGGGATTTTCAGAAACACACAAAGCATTCAAAATGGATCTTACATTAGGGAACTGTTATTTTGTTTCGAACTGTTCAACCTATCTATGGAATGTGGTGTACATCAACAACGTACATTATCCGTGTAAAATTGATTGGACGCCTAATCGAGTTATACGTGAATGGTGTGACAAACTAGCTCACGTAGAAGTCACACATCGTGGTGAGCACATTACATGGACTACCACATTGACGTATCAAGGTACCATAGATGGTTTGAAGAATGTACAACACAGAGGACTTTATTACAGAAATAGATTAGTTAAAATAGAAACAAGAGTAAGGCCTCTGCCTCGACACTCCGTAAGTCTAGAAAGTTATACGAAGAAAAATTCTTTAGGGATCTCAAAGAATGTCCTAATCGCTTTTATTCTTATATAAACCAAAGGACAAAAAGAAGAGGAAACACTCCTGCATTATGGGGAGACAGTACTGCCGCACCATTAGTAGAGGACGACTTTAGTAAGGCTCAAGTGTTCTCGAACTATTTCAGCAATATATACACCATAGAACCACACTTCCCGTCAGCGCATACAAACCCCCCACCCATACACTGGATAGCGTAACCATTAAAGAGCTCGATGTCTTTGGTCTATTAAATAAGCTTGATGTAGGTAAATCCACGGGGCGCGATGAATTTCATCCTAGGCTACTGAAGAAATTATCTAACTTCGTTGCGAACCCTTTGAGTATATGCTTTAACCTATCCGTAACGCAGGGTCGTTTACCCAAAGACTGGAAAAACGCCATAGTAAGACCTGTCTTCAAAACAGGTACGAAACACAAACCTGAGAACTACCGCCCCGTTAGCCTAACTAGTGTGGTTGTTAAAGTCTTAGAAAAGATTATTCGGAAGGAGCTGTTTAAGTATCTGGATAATAACCGGAACCTTTCGGAGAATCAGCACGGTTTCAGAATAGGTTACTCTTGTCTCACCAACTTAGTAGTGGCTCGTGAAAGCTGGTGCGCTCTTAAGGACCAAAAGTTACCTGTAGACGTAGCCTTCATTGATTTCAGCAAAGCTTTTGACAAGGTCCCGCACAACCGGCTGTTATATAAGTTAAGAAATGTCGGGATTGGAGGCGATCTATTTATGTGGATAAAAGACTTCTTAGTTGAGCGTCAACAAAGAGTTCGGGTGAACTCAAATTTATCTGGCTGGGGAACTGTGTTTAGTGGAGTGCCCCAGGGTACAGTTTTGGGGCCAGTCCTATTCCTCTTGTATGTAAATGAACTTCCTCGTCTCCTATAATCATCGGTCTTGCTATAAGCTGACGATGTCAAGATGTGGAGAACGATACGATGTGAGGGTGATAGCTTAGAACTCCAAAATGACCTGAAGAAATTATCTGAATGGTCTCAAACCTGGAAGTTGCCGATAAATACTTCCAAGTGTGTTGTGATGCATATCGGTCATCAAGGTACAGATACATACACGATGAATAACACTGAGCTACTTGTTGTTCAGACACATAATGACTTAGGAGTCTTCGTTAGCCGAGACTTAGAGACTACTGTACACTGCCGTGCAACAGCCGCCAAAGGACTTAGGACCTTATGGTCAATACGTAGGGCTTTTAGTCATGTCGACGCTAAGACGTTTCTGACTTTGTATACAGTGTTCGTACGTCCTAAACTTGAGTACTGCATACAAGCGGCTAGCTCCTGCTTAAAAAAAGACAGTGAGCTTCTGGAAAAGATTCAGAGAACGGCAACTAAGCTGATTCCCGGAATAACGAAGCTTCCGTATGAATCTCGACTGGCCAAGCTAAACTTTTTCCCGTTGTCATATCGCAGAACTAGAGGCGACGTGATTACAGTTTTCAAATTGCTTAGCGATAAATTTGCACCTGATATGCTCTCATTTTTCTTGTCTTCCAAAACAGAGAATTTACGAGGACACTCCAAAAATGTTCACGAGCCCAGAACAAATTATTTGTCAGCTGACTATCGACTTTTCCATCGAATCCCCAAGCTGCCAGATTTGAGGAAATTTTGGGGAAATCCCCAAAATGAAATAGTTTTCCCCAAACTTTGGGGAAATCCCCAAAATAGCCATAGCGCATTTTTGCACTAACATTTCATCGACATAATATAAATAAGCCTCACAGTAGTAAATTTGAATAGAGAAATTTACATTTTAATTCAATACAGACTTTTGATGAGGGTCTTGTTTTAATACATCAACAATCAAACAGTAGACAAAGAGTTATCGGTTTTAAAGCACTTTTTTAAAATTTGAAAGCTATGCAGGTGGGTTGTTTGCAGTGCAGGTCGGAAAATTTGGTTGCTGTCTATGTTCAGTTTTACTTAAGTGAATTATTTCTTTCAGAATAATAATAGACAGCTCGATAAGATTGCGAAAAGGCGGGGAAGCTTCCCCAAAATGATATAGCTATATATCGTGTTCGTTTCCCTTTCACCTGGCTTCGCAGGCTTTAACAGACGTAACCATAGTTTATTTGTTCCTTTGTATATTCTTTTATACTACTTACAAAAATTCAGTAGTCAGTGGTATTCCCAATAACTGAAGTTCACTTTGGGGATTTCCTCAAAGTTACCCAAAATTTCCCCAAAGTACCCCAGGTCTGGGGAAATTTTGGGTTTTTTTCTCATTTCCCCAAAATTTCCCCAGAATTTATTATAGCGGCGTCCCCAAAATGGACTCAATTTTCCCCAAAGTTGGAAGCCTGGGTCGTCAACGAGAACTCTTCACCTCAACACGGTTGAGGCTCCATCCGTTGACTTTTTCAAAAGAAAGTTGGATCAACTGAGAGATTACCGTTGCAAAGACTAACATAGGCCATCAAGCCTCCTGTCCTTTCCAAACTGAAACACTACCGCATGGGTCAGTTCATGGAACATGATTAATTGATGCGCGTTGGTTGTCCTTGACCTTGACGAGGACCAATGATTTCTTCGATATTCAATGAACCGACCGAAGGATGACTTGGATAGGGCTCGGTGGAACTTCAACGGCCCTACAATGGAGTCTATCCATCTGTATTTAAAATATCACTTGTCACCCCCTGATTCAAAACGGGATCACGTAGTGATATCACTAACTATAGGCCCATTAACTTGACATCTGTGCCATTAAAAACTATGGAAAACATCATCCACAAATAGCTATTATCATTTTTATTTTCGGAAAGCCTGATTATCCCATCTCAACGTGGGTTTAGGACCAAACGTTTATGCATCACATCACACCTAAAAGGTTTTGATCAATTTACTCAGATACGACGAGGTGGTCGGTCAATCACAATCCTGCACTACGATTTTAGTAAAGCCTTCGACAGTGTCCAGCACAAACTTCTAAACCTTTCTTCATTTGGCATAAGGAATCCCTTCTTATCTTGGCTCAAATCATTTTTTAGCAAAATGTAGCCAAATCATTCGCTTTGGATCTTGATACTATTGACTTATTATTGTAACCAGTGGTGTTATATAAGGAAGTTTGATTGACTCATTACTCTTTCTCCTTATGATCGATGAAATGTGCTTACTTTTTGAACACGGTAAACCTTTTTTTCTTGCCAATGACCTAAAAGTGGTGATTCATTCTCGTCCCTTACCAAAGAAAGCTATATTCCAGCGGTAATCTAAGTTACACGAATGGATCGTGTCCTGGAATCTGCCACTGAATGTTGATAGAAGTGGATTTATTTACACTGGCCACAGCCTTAACCGAAATCTGGTTATACAAAATCACAAACTGAGACCTCTCAACACTTTTATGACCTGAGTTTGAGGTATAAAAACAGTTTGAACATTTCCGAGTAAACTGAATCTCAAGTATCCAAATCAGGAAAGCTCACTGCATTCATAATGATAATTTTCAATAACATCGAATAGATATTATTAACATGTACAAAATGCCTCTTTATTGAATACGGCATTCTAGTTTACAATAATTGCAGGGATGATGACTTGATGAAAATGGAAGGTGTTCAAAAGAGATTCACTAAAGCTATTTTGGGGTATTCCAACCACAAGGAATATCACCAAATGTATCAACAAGACAAGTTAGAACTTCTCTGGATCAGGCGTATCAAATTAAATCCTATCTTTATCTGCTGGCTTATAAACGGTATTTTTTAGTTTTCGGCATCTACCCGTTAGCATTCTATGGTATCATTTCAGAACCTACGCAATAAGGGAGATTGCCCTAGAACGTACACAGATGTACGTCAGAATCTCTTCGTTATTCGCTACTGAACTATGCGAAACACTCTCACGGAACCTCCGTTGCAGTAAAGCGATAACACCGTTTAGAAGTCTCCTTGATAATTTTCTTTCCGAGAGTCGATTGCTTCACCTATTGTATATCAATGTAAGCACCATCAGCCGGTAGGTATGAATATAAACAGTCAGTAAATTGCGAATCGAAACACTGAATATAGAGCATATTTCTCACGAATACACTCATGTTTAATGAACTGCTCTTAGCTATTTGTCCAAAATTTTGACGTAAAAGAATTTTGGATAACCATTCATGTGTTAGTAGTATCGCTAAATTCTATCACGGTTACGTATTAATGGAGTTGCGAATATATCCACGTAATTAAATAAACCGTATGAAACTTAAAAAACTCACTGTAACGCTAGTTGGAATTTCGTCTCATGGTTATGTTTTTGCTTTCAGTAAGTCTACTTATCCGGATGCCATTGGGAATCAACTCATATAGACAGCTCACATACATAAATGTTAACCGACTTTATGATTTAAACCAAAAATAATACCAACATTAACATTTCTACAATACTGATTGTTTTTATGTTTCTAAACACAAAATACGTGTACTACACATAAGTTAAGCTATTAACAAACGGCTACTACTAATCATTTTACTGCGACATATAAAAGTATCTTAGTGATTTGTACAGACAAGGTCCGTCATCTATCTAGTTGATTTTGAAGTAAAGTAGAACATTTGAAACTTTTCTCATCTACTTTGATCTCTTTTACTCATCTTAATACCTGAAGTCTGCTTAAGTTCATATTTATAATTATTCTTATTATCATCAAGATTAGTCCCTTGACACATTAGATGGTCTTGTCATCCCTTTTTTTCCTCCTAGACATATTTTATTCCTAAACATCTAAAGTTTATGACTGTGAACAAAACATCTTAAGTTACGCCTAAATAAATTAACTTCTCAGATTCATTTTATCGTCACTGCGTATATGACTCATACATATTGATATTTGATTATCCTTTGCAACTAGTTGATACTTTCATAGCACTGCACAGACACTTCTTCTACCGTCAAATCTTGCTTCAATAATAATCTTATTTATTTATAATCACTTCCCCTTTTTGTTATTCATTCGGCGACAAATACATAATCGTCTATACTTGTTTTGTGTTCATGAACACATTCACTAAACTATTAACGTATTTCGCGTTTCCTTCATTTCTGTTCCCTTATTTTCTCCATTTCTTCAATATTCTTCTTAAGTGCACAGAACCCGTCTTTTTTATTATGGTGAATATTATGCTAACATCAACGAAAATAGTGTATTATTGCATTTCTGAAGAAACCATTTCCGAAACATTTTTCGTGTCGGATGTTTTGGGGATAAAGAAACTGCAGGGTTTCCTGCAATTTCGGGATTTTTCATACTTATTATTGTACCAGCAATAATCAGGGTTAGCTGTCTTTCAAGATCTAGAGATAGGTCGTTCCTACTTTCGTGAATTGTTACTGACCTGAAAAGCTTCAAGAAAACACGAAATTAAGTTTTGATACTGAAAAATGTGGACCAGACTTGTCAACAGATTTTAATCCGACCATTCGTAATCGCAATAAATCTAAAGACTAAGTGGAATTTAACTGTGTATGATAATTAGAAGCATTCGTGTTGACGTGCAAACCAAAAATTACTTGAATAGTTCAATTCACGGCTTGTAGAACCGCATGAGGACAAGTGAACACATTATATTTGGAGTTCGTAATAAGTGCGCAATTAAGTGCGAAGGAATCTTTTGTTAGTATAAACACTAAAGGCGTCGCGGCTTAGATGGGAATCCGAATTTCTGTAATCGACTGCACGTTTCCTCTTTAGGTTTATCATGTATCCTGTTAATACTACACACTGTTTATTACTGAGACCCCAACCGGTGAGTCATCTAGATCTCGTTAGAGAACCTCGTCTAGACTACTGATGTATACTCAGTGCTATGCAAAAGGAAAGGATGTTGATCTGATAAGTAGATTTCCTGACTAGTTTTCCAAGCGGAATGAATTTTCCACTACTCCCGATGATAGTTTCTGTTTAAACGATCGTGCTGTTATACGTCCTTTGTAACGTGAATCTGTCCTTGGAAATGTTCACAGTGGACATTCAGGTGTTAAAATGAAATCCTTGAAAAGGCTCACATGTTGGTGGTCGGAAATAATGGTAGATACATGTCGTATACCAAACAATTGCGGAAGATGTTATACGCCAAAAAATCACCTTTTGAATTTGACTCCATGGGCAGTATCCTCTGAGGCCTGGTAGAGAATTCACACGGCCTACTGGGGTTCATTTTTTGGCAAATACTACGCACTTGTAGTCATTGATTCTTTTCCCAAGTGGCCTGGAGATTTTTCTCGTCTTCACCAAATTCTGACTGAACAATCCGAGCATTAAAATGTTTTTAGTCGGATGTCCATATGGTACTAGTGACTGATAATGTCTTTCATTTTACTGCAGATGCGTCACTGTCTAGTTGAATGGTATAGGATTTAAGTATCTGATCACTGCTCCCAGACACCCTTGTTCTAATGGTTAGGGAAGAAGTTTCTTCAGGACATTAGTTTGCTAATCATTCCGTTGCTGCTTCCAGATTTAATGACCTGGAGGGGGTAGACGTATTTCTAGTGCAATACAGAAATGCTTGGCATTCTGTGACGAAATATACTCCGTTAAAATGATCAAACGGAAGGATTCTCTATTCAAATGTGAGGTGTTTAGAGTTCACAAAAGTTACTTGGAGTTGTGATCTGCTCAAATACAGCACTATTTACCAGACACAACATTGGGTCAGAAGGAATTAGATACATAGATTTGTGCACCTCCTATCAATTGTTAAAGAAGTTCTTGACTTGACACGGAGTCCTTTTACGTAGAAAACGTGTACGACCACAAGGCATGAAGTGGTGAACCGTCGAAGAATCCAAGACCTTTTTCAAGGAGGAACATTATGTGGCAGGTTACCACACCAATTTTTGCGTTATCTTTAGTGTTTAGTAGGCGACAACACTATGGTTAAGCCAGCCCTAAGCAATGACTGGAGCAGAAACTCCCACCAACGACACAGTGAAGAACCATCAAACGACCTGGTGGTAACCAAACTCGCTGGAGGCATCAAAAGTATCTTTAAGACTGTGACCCAAAAGCAAATAGATAATAAAAAAACGGAGTAAATTGAGACAGTCCAAACTATCTTGTTGGTACCACTGGAAATTTTATGTCGAATCAGCTTAATACAGTCCACTATGCACCTGACCTAAATAAACTTTTAAGAATGTGGAAAACGAACAGGTCTTCATAGGCTATTACAACTGTTGAGGGGTCCACAAAGTCGCTTGTTTTACGTTAGAGAGAGGAATTAAAGTATGAATTTTCTAGTGAACATAGGTGCGGTGCTTAGTATCACAACCAGAATAAAATCGGTCTGGGACGACAGGCCGCCCCAGTTACGCTTCACTGTTTATACTAATTCAATTTTTACGTTCACGAAACTTAATTGTGATGATTCTTATATTTTTCGATCTCCATAGTGTATATCCTGTCCACCTTCAGCATTTTATCCTAATTTTCCCCTCGGCTGGAGGCTGGTTTGTTCTCTCCCACAGTAGGCTGTTGCTGATGATATTCGATCGACTGAAATTGAGAATCTTGCGTAGACAGTTGCTTATAAATACCTGTACCTTTTTGATGATGGTTGCAGTAGTTTTCCAAGTTTCAGCTCCGTATAGTGGAAATGTGTTGACGTCTGCATTAAAGATTCTGATAGTTATTTTGAAGTCCGTGTTGTCTTCAATTGTAGAAATGCTGCCCTTGCCTTGGCAATCCTTGCCTTTACGTCTGCATCAGATCCACCTCGTTCATCGATGATGCTGACCAGGCACGTGAGTTTCCGCCTGTTCCAGAGCTTCTCTATCAAGTGTGGTTGGGTTGGTTCTCTGTGTGTTGTATTTGAGGATCTTGTTTTTTCTCTTGTAGATGTTGAGGCATACTGACACAAAGGCTGCCGCTAAACTAGATGTCTTCGTCTGCATTTGCTTGTGTGTATGAGATAGACGGGCTAGGTCATCTGAGAAATCTAAATCATCTAGCCGCATCCAAGCTGTTCATTGTATTTCCTGCTCTTGCATTGTTTAGGATTCTGGTTTTCCACGCAGAGCTGATTTTTCCGGTCAAATGATTCAACACAGTTATCAACTCATTAGTAATTGAATCTAGAAATGATAGAATTCAAATCCAAAATTACACAATTTCAAGTTATGCTTATTAGGTCACCTCAATCGCGTATGACAAAAGTAAATGTTATTTTAAAAAACTTTAGATGAAGAAAGTACTCATTTTTACAAGTAACCTAAAAGATTCAGTCGTTGTGAACCACTGAAACTTGAGACCAACCAGGAAGATACTCAAAATAAGAAGACAGCAAGAAAAAGTGTAATTATATTTCATGTAAAGATAAATTACTGTAATAAAATATAGTATTAAACAGTCTTTCAAAAGTAGCAACACTTAAATGTGATTCATTCGAACGGAATGATAATCGAGGAACAAAGGGGAATGTATTACAGCATCCCACATTTTATGAACATATGTTATCCTAAATAAAAAATACGTGTTTTATGGGGTAAAGGAGATCAAAACATACCATTTCTTCTCTGTAAAATTAGGCATAATATGCTGTCGAGGTGTAGAGAAAACAGCTTCTTGTAAGATACGGGCTGCTGTTAAGTATGTTGGACACCCTAATGGTGAGTGTCCTAAGAATGTGTGCAAATGGAGAAATTAAAAAAATTAAAAGTCCAATTTGCACATGCTCAAATTGTACGATAGTTAAAATAACTTATTTAGCCAAACTTAAACAACATAAAACCTAGGTTGATTTCGTTAATGCTGGATATTTAAAACTAAACCAATACATCGATAATGGATAACATACCATCAATTCTATTTCTTTTAAAGACTTCTAGCATTATCCGAAACAGATTGAAGTGCGTGTAGTCGAAATTCGGATTGCGAAAGACTTGTATGTACAAAAACCAAATAAACTTCGTTTATTATTAAAATTTTCCATAAACTGCTAAGAGTCGCCCAAAATCCACTGAGCATGTCCCCAGAAGCGGGAAAAGGACTAAATTATTTCGCCCAATCAACTTTGCGGAAAAACTAAGGATAGGTCAAAATTCGATTGCATAATTACCCGTTTCGCTAATAATTTTAATGTATTACCAGAAGTTCCTAATAGATCAACGCTACCCGTAAACCTACAAATAAATTTGTTCTCTATACATAAATTAATCTAGAAGTAACGTTTCTATTCTGACTTCTCCCCTTTTCTATACCCTAAGGGATTCAAGTCTAGGAGTATCTGAGGAACCTAGAAAGAGGATAGGATATTAGCACCAAGTGTTTGAGTAGTAGACAAATTATTTATGATATTTAATTTGAATAAGAACTTGAAAATCTATAAGAAGGTGCAACAATTTCGCAGAATAGGGATACATATTTGTAACCCAGTTATCTCACTACTCACTTTTAGTGCATAATACAAAACCTCCTACTGATAATAATCAACATATGTTCACTAGTGACTGTCAGTCAGTCAGTCAGTAACAACGTAGAACTTCGTACGTACGTACATCAGTTCGAGTTGCCACACCACATTAGCACAGAGATGCACTTGTCGATTCAAATCCCGTAGTGATAGAGGTAATAAGAGTATAAGTAGTAATCGGGAAGATTAGGGTTTGGAGATGTTATTTAAAGAGTATAATACAGTGAAAGAAATTTGGAAAGAGGAAAAAAGGGACATGAAGAATTCAGAAGATTAGAGTTTGGGAGAACACAGAGAGTGGATGCACCTGCGCCATTGCAAACGATTTTGAGCCATGTCATTCAGGGTCTCTAACCATCGGTTGCTGTCATCTCGCGGTCCCCAACCAGGTAGTCTACACCTACCAACATGACTCAGTCCACTTGTCAGTGACTTCATGGATTCGTGCCATGTTTTGGTTTGGCCGCCCCTAGCTTTCTTCCAACCTACTCCTATACCACTGAACATAGCACGTCGAGGCAGTTAGTATTTGGGCATACGTAACACGTGTCCCAGCCATCTCAACTGATGAAGTTTCACTACTTCATCAATTGATTTGCCATCCTTACCTAGTACCCGTTTCCTAACAACTGTGTTACTTACTCGATGGTCCCATGATATACGAGCAATGTTTCGAAGACACCTATGATCAAATACTAGTAACCTACGGATATCCTCTACTCTTACCGACCATGTTTCACTGCCATAAAGTAGGACGGAACGAACTGCTGCGCAGTAAACACGTCCTTTGGTTGATAGACGGATATCTCGCCTACGCCATAAATGACGCAAGTTGGCAAAAGCTAGTCGAGCCTTCTGTATCCGTGCTGAGATTTCGTCACACACCAAACCACAAGGGCTGATGAGACTTCCAAGATAAGTGAAGCGGTCGACACACTCAACTACTTCACTCCCTATCACTAGTTCGGGTGTCGATGTAACCCAATCCTGAAGCAACATTTTGCATTTCGAGGGAGAGAATCGCATCCCGAACATGCTTGCATTGTTGCTTAGAGTGGTCAGAAGACTCTGCATTTTGTCAGCGTCTTCACCAAATAAAACTATGTCATCTGCATATTCTAAGTCAACAAGTGAACCTCCTGGTAGAAGTTCAACCCCTGGAAATTTAGATGAGGAGAGTGTTATCTCTAAAAGTACGTCAATGACAAAGTTGAACAAGAATGGGGAGAGTGGACAGCCCTGACGAACACCACTTGAGGTGATCAATTCTGATGACAGTTCGCCATAAGCTCTCACTCTACCAGTTGTGTTCGAGTAGAGAGCCTTTATAAGGTTAATGTACTTCTTTGGTACTCCTTTCAGTGACAAACACTGCCATAGAACCTCACGATCAACGGAGTCGAATGCCGCCTTAAGGTCGAGAAATACTACCATTGTGGGGCGTCTGAATGTGTGTCTCTGTTCTAGAACCTGACGTAGTGTGAATATCTGATCGATACAACCACGTCCAGGTCGAAAACCAGCCTGGTTTTCTCTAGTCTGCTCTTCACGAGCTTTAGTTAGGCGTCGAAGTATTATTGAGGCTAATATTTTAGACACTATATTAGTCAAACTGATTCCTCTGTGATTGTCACAAGAGGACTTTTGTCCTTTCTTAAAAACTGGCACAATCAGTGATTGAGACCAGTCAGATGGGATTACGTCCAGTTCCCAAATTCTACCTAAGACCTCAGTTAATCTCATTGCTAATACTGGACCACCATCCTTAAAAATCTCAGGAGTAAACCTGTCAGGGCCTGCTGCTCTCCCTCGTTTCAGATTTCCTATGGCTTTTTCAACTTCGTAAAGGGACGGAGGACTTACATTAACTTGCCATTCAGGTTGACTGGAGATCGTGGGAAACCGAAGTGTGGCTGAAGGCCAGTTGAACTGATCCCTAAAGTGTTCTGCCCATCGATCCAATCTCCTGGATTGAGAATGAATAATATGTCCATATTTCTCTGAGATTGTTTCGCTAACGGTCGGGTTCCTAATTCCGGTTTCCTTAACGAGTCTAAACAATTGTCTGCTATTACCTATTGCCGCTGCCTTTTCCATCTCTCTTGCTTTCGCTACCCACCACTGTTCGCGATCATTGCGTAGACTTCTTGTCAGCTTGCGCTTAAGCTGACTCCGCTCTTCATTATGTTCAGAGCCAGGTGGAATGAGTTTTCGAGCATCTATCAGTGCGATAGATGCTGCTGAGATCCAGTGTTGCTCCATAACTTTACGGTTTACCTTACTAGCAGATATCACTGCTGTTTCCACAGCTTTTCGGATATCGTTCCATGCTGCCTCGGGGTGGGCATCACATACATGGCTGCCTAACTGTTTTCCTAGTTGTTCCTGAAATATATTCTTAGCTTGACTATCATTAAGTAGGCCCTAAGAGGTTTCCTTGCAGGATCTTTCCTACGTCCAGTAAGACGCAAGCAAATACGCGCTCGCACTAGAGCATGATCTGAATCTAGGCATGTGCTCCAGAATGGGCGACAGTCTTCTGTCGAGCCTCTCCATCGGTGGCTGATAGCGATGTGATCTATTTGGGTCCAACGTTGGGACGAATTAGGGGGTCGCCATGTTAATAGATGTTTTTCCTTATGCTTAAAGTTAGTATTTGCAAGGAACAGGCGGTTATCTGAGCATAGCTGCAACAGACGGTCGCCATTATCTGTTCTTTGAGCCACGACACCATAAGATCCACCTAGGTGTCTTTCCTTATCGCTTAGTTTACCTACTTGAGCATTAAAGTCACCGGCCACTATTACTACATCCGAGCGCTTAGCTTTTCGGAGAAGGTCCGAAAGCTTTCTGTAAAACTCATCTTTTACATCATCTGAGCTGCAGTCAGTGGGAGAATAGGCAGAGACGACGAAGAGGCAACAACGAGTGTCCCTATCTTTATTCTTAAAAAAAAAAAAAAAAAAAAAGACAGCGCACAAACGACTGTTTACTGGGATCCACTCTAAGAGAGCTAGTTCTGCCCTAGGACTCAATGCTATACCTACGCCGGCGAGGCCACGGAAAGCAGAATCAGGGCTTCCAGATACACGAAGCGTAAATCGAGTCGGTTCTTTATTTTGGCATGGTGAGGTCAAATGAATGACACTACTTGGATCCTGTATGCGCGTTTCGGAGACGCAGCACACATCGATGGCGCGAGATTCTAAAGTTTTAGCTAAGGAAGCCTGCTGTCCTATTTGACAAAGTGTTCGTACGTTAAAAGCTCCTACGTGTAGTTTAGAGCGTGGTTTCAGGAGACCAGGAATGGCGTTCCACGTACTCGAATCGTTTGCCCTAGCGGTGCGAGGTGATAAAGAGACGTGAGGAGGGTTAGTCGGGAGGATAAGAGAGGTATTAGGAGGTGTAGGAAGGATTTGAATGTGACCACCTTGGTCTCTTGTGCTGTTACGGGTATGAGGGCTGATATCACTTCCCGGCTGCCCACACCGTGGAAGGGTATTTCTTGAGGAACCTGAAAAGGAAATTGGATTAGTGTTGGTCTTGAAGACCTGGGAGCGTGACCGCAGAGCCCAAGGGACAACTGCTTGAGGCCGGTCGCGCACGGCCTTTTTGTGGAAGGTTTTTGACGTGTTAGCTCCGTTCTTCAAGGGGCCTTACCGCCGGAGACGGAAATCCGTGAGGTAAGGTGAGGTATGCATTTTTAGGGTCGACCTTTTCTAACCCCACCCCTCCTTGTGGGAAGGCAGCATCGCTGTCATGCTGGTTGTCCGAGGGAAACACCTTACTGCTGTCACACCTCTCTACAGTCAGCAGTACGACTTCGCCCTCAGACCTTGAGTTGCTGCTTTTAGTCTTACCGTTCGCCAATCGACCTGCCTGGCATGGTAGAACCTGCAGGAACATATGTTCCAGCCAATATAGCTCGGTTGGGTCATCACGATAGGCAAGCCCGACCACCACGTCAAGGTAGCAGCTTCGATCGGGTAAAATCAAATCATTACGTCAAGCAGGGATAGGATTCAATGCCTCGCAGTGTGAAAGCTGCTCGAGCACGTACGTCTCCCCGACAAAACTAGTGACTGGCTTCAAGATGTATATCCTGGAGTTGTAGTGAGAAGCAGTGACCAGTGGAGTTTAACCGGGTCAGTTGTGAAACAGTAACTTACTAATGACAATAGTGGATATGTCGCTCAACTTCGTGGATTAGTTGAAGTTAGACATTGACACCGTTGAGTACCGGCTCAGTGGTCTATTGGTTAAATGCTTGAGCGCGAGACCGGCAGGTCCTGGGTTCGGATCCCGCAAGGCGGGGTCGTGGATGCACATCGCTGAGGAGTCCCACAATAGGACGGAACGGCCATCCAGTGCTTCCAGGTTTTCCATGGTGGTCTAGTTTCAATTGACTCATGATCTCAACTATTGAAAATCATAATACTCAATATTAGAATATACTTAATAGACTTTTAGATACATTAGCGATACACCTCCTAGTTAATATGTTAATGTGACGGCAAAATAAACTTGTACTCCTATACGGAATACGACGACACAATGACACGAGATTGAATAACAGACTGGGAAAACTAGATCAGGTGACACGTAGATAAGAAACTCTAGCCAACAATTAAGAACTAGATTATAGGCCAGTTTTGTTAGGACACACACTAGGACTAATAGTAAGAAATATATTTCAATATTTATAATGTCCCATACATTTAGCATATCTAGATGTCCATCGTCGTTCGCTAATCAATCACAGCTTGCTTGACATACCACCCGTATTATGATGATCGTGAAAATAAGAGTGCTTATCAAATGCATTTCTAGTTAGTTGGAAAATTTCGAATACACTACATGGGAAACAGAAGAAATCTGACATGCAATATCAACGAAATTTGTCATAGTAACTCAAAAGATTTCGATCTAAACTCTTAAAAAACAATCTAGATAAGCTGAATGCAAAAAAAACACAGCGGAAGCACTTAGGGTGGAGTCTAATCACGTGGGTTATTTATTAAACTAAGCAAAACATTTAACACTCAGTTAACTGACATTTTGAACTAGAGAAAACTTATAAAAAATCTTCTTTAACAGTAATGAATGCTTTTTATTGATTTTCTTTAATCATATAATACAATCCTTTATGGATAACCTAAAGCTTAAGAACTAAAACCATAAGGATCAGTATAAGAAAACATAGGATGTAAACTAAAGTTCCATTTGTATGACGGCTACTGATACTACCTAGCTGCTCAAACTGAAGCATTCGAAATGACATTCAGCTGTCTAAAATTGATTGCTTAAAACCATACATCAATGTTTGATTGGAATAAGGTAAAACCGGGTCTGGATTTGTAAACCCATAGCATATATATATATGTATATATATATATATATATATATATATATATATATATATATATATATATATATTACACAGCACATGTTTCCATTTCGACAATGAATTTTTTTAGTACATTAACATAACTACTAACCTTTATCGTCAACTTCTGGTATCAAGAATAATCTTGGTTGATCTAATCGCTTTTGAACATTGAAAAAGTTACATCTAGTGGTCTGTACATCATGATACATTTGAACAAGACTGGCATTCAACTTCTCACCATTATTACCAGGTATATGTAGTAAATCATTATCAGGGAGCTGACCTTCGACCGGTAATATTCCTGATCGTTCCTCTACAATCTTCTTGTGATGGTCTACACCAGCGGATAAGTTAGTGTGTTTTAAAACATAATTGAGTTCATCTTCTACATTATGCAAAACATTGCAACACTGCGATACTATCTCTGATTCCGATAAGCCAAATGTTTTAACACAATTATTACTATTATTGTTACTGTTATCCAAGGGAATGAACCTACAAAATTGTGAAAAGCGGAAAAATTTAAACAAAGCAAAAGCAATATTTGCGAAATACAATTAATACATTGTACATATTTGCTTGCTCTTCAGCTGCACACAAGATAATTAGTTTAAAAGGTTTATTTATTTAAACACATAAACATTGGTACAAGGAGGAGCTAAATAGATATGCGCCACATAAACCATTCAATTTGTGTGAGGGCTGGGATACTGCCCAGGTGCCCAACCCAAAGCAGATGGTTTTCTTCGTGAGCTACATCCAACAACAGGCTGATACTCCATTTGTTTCCTTAGGATTCTGGAGCCCACATTCGCTTTTTGTCCCCTCGATTTCGTAAATAACAACCCTACTACGATAAAACAGTGAGTAGAACTTCCCTGGCAGTGGTTGTATGCACGTGGCTATGTGAGAGCGATTCGATGAGAGCTTACTCGCTCAGTCCTGCTAACTAGAGGGAGAAGATTCGGTTCGGATAAGAGAAAAATATACTCCACAAGCACCCAGAAGCAGGAACGACAACAAGCACACAGCTCAAGTGTCTATATACAGCATAAAAATGTCTTTAGGAAAACATCACAAATTAGCATATTAAAAAAGGAAAACGAATTAATGGCATTTATGGTCAGAATCTAAAAAACGGACGATATTAAAGTTCGATACAATTCTAGAACATACCACTATTATTTTGAATTATCCTCTTTATTTATTTGGTGAGGATAAGGTTGATTTTCAAACAAAGAGGATCTTATGATATATTATAATAGTAACTCGATGAACAACCATTAATTGACGACTAGGAAGAAAAAACTATGTAGTAAAAGTTACATAGTCTAGTACATAATCTATCAATTACATGACTGTAGTATGTTATCAGTCATAAAATGTCAATAAAGATCTCTTCTATACGGTGGGAATTATTTTTATACTGTTAGTGTTAGACAAAACAAAGCGAATACTAAACAACTAGCAAAAATGTTTTTTATTCAGCATATAAGGGAAAAAGCCCAAATGATTAAGATTATATAAATTAATCTGAGATAAACTAACCCATCAGGTTTTTCACCAGAAAAAGGTTTTGATTTTTCTTGAATTGTATTTAATGAAGTTAAACAGTGGGTTGGATCTTGAAAATAATGTAAAATAATAATAAACATAAATCGTACTTGTTTTTTTCCAATTGAAATGAAGCGTTTTTAGTGAAAAACGATGAACATGTTACCACGCAGCAGTATAGGTGTCAGTATCTGTCATACATTATAAGTAAAAACTTAAATCTTTGGTAAAAATAATTATGCTTTAGTTGTGAAATGAATTAATGAACCTACGACTAATACTATTTGAAAATGAAGTTGTCAAAAATGGTGTTTTTAGACGAAGATGAAACTACAGATATTTTCCCTATTAAATAACATTCCCTGCTAGTTTTAAACGGACAAAGTTATATTACTACCAACGCCTCTCAATAAATCAGACTATATTTCAAGAACATGGACAAATTAGAAAGTACAGAAGTTTTTCGTACTATATTTGGTAGTGAACTTACTATGAATGTATCTTATTTACTGAGTGCCGACTCGTACATTCGACTTTAAAATAAACTCGATATTAGAACTTGTAATACAACTACTCGGTTGATCAATTCAAAATGGGCGGAGTGGGATTCCAACCTACAGACTGGTGGTTTAAACATGAACACCAAACCACCATAATCCACCTATCTACTTTGGAATGAAAAACCATATTAAAAATTCTGTGTAACCTGGATTTACTATTAATTTGATTGATGTTGAACTAGTGTTACTAATTTGTTTTGATATTAAAGACAATATTAGTAGGACAATAACTTCCAAGTTGACTATTTCTCTATGGTGAATAAATATTGAAAATGTAAGTTGTCATTCTTAAAGTTAATATTCTTGAGATGGTTTGGATACATTTTTTTTAAAATCTATAGCTACCAACGCTGTTCCCTAATGGTCACTTTGTCTCATCATTACATTTTATTATAGCCTTGAAAAATTGTGTGAATTAGTTCCATGTGTACTAATTAGAACATAGATTTCTGGGAAAGTTTAATATGTTGACCAATATCAATCGAATGCCATAAGAAGTTCGACTGTATTGAACAGTTATCCTAGTTTAAATACTGATGGTAAGTTTTGTAAAGACAGTCACATAATAATGAAACATTTTTTAAGAACTAGCGTAAGATTCCTCTGAAAAAACGTATGTGGTGGACGCTACACTCAAGATTACATGTAATTAATGTTTAGCGGAACGTGGAGTCAAAGTTATCACAATCGTCAGACTGAGAGAAGAATTCCAATACATCAAAAGCATGACGTAGGAATAACACTTAATGATCAGACGAGAAAACGGTTTAGACCGCAGAACACACCACAAGATGCAAATGAATGATCGAAAGCTATGTATACATAATATATAAACCCTTTGTAATTTCTATCTAAAATTAATCCTGTTACCGATTGTTTTGTTCTACAATATTTTTCACCACATGAATGAATGTTAGATTAAATAGTTCGTGCTGGTTCCTTGAAATGAGTACAATCACACCTTTGTTTTGAAGTAAATATGGTTATTAACCACTGTATGAAAAGTCTAATTTAACTCGTTCAACAAACACAGGTTCAAGTATACAACTTTAAATCACACTGCTTGTGTAGAAGTTAGAGATAATAGTCGATTACTCAAAGTGAACCTGTAATCTACTTGTTCAAAGCTAGATGTTTCAGCCCCTAAACTACTGTTCTGTAAAAAAATACAGATATCAACATCGAGTGTATTAAATAAAAATATTTACCTAGGGACTATCAGACACAATATAAGATTATTATTTAAACACATAAACATTGGCACAAAGAGACACTAAAATGTATATGCATTACACAATTTCTTGACGGTCGGGATACTATACGGTTACCCGAACCGAGGCAGGTGGATTTTCTAAGGAGACCATCCCACGAGTCTTTGGCCTGGAGGTCCGAACCACAGGGTAGTGAAGGAATGTTAGAAGATGATGTCCCTCGATGAACTCCTTCGGTTTAAATTTTATCACGTCTATAATTCCCATGACAAGTAACTGCACTAAACTCCTACAGTAAGTTTAGGTTGCAAGAAAACTAGAAACATGTGTAGTCTAATAAAAAAACAACCAAAAACTATTAATCAGAAAGAACATTAAGTATAAACTTACTAGGTTTTGACTCATTATCAACTTCTACTGAAGTCAACGTTTCTGCGCTGATATTCGAAGGCTTTTGTGATGATGCAAGTCCTTTGTCTGATGAAACTGAGGACGGTTCGGAAAGTCCTGGTGGAGTAGGTAAGACAGAAGTTTCCTGAGTATCAAGAAAACCTGGATAATTTTGTGTGGTAAAATTGTCAGGGACTAAACGATTTTCTGAACTGTTTTTAGTTAGCTTTACGACAGTAGTGTTTCGATTTATTTCAGTAGGAGTATCATTTTGTGCAGAGTTTTGACGTGCAGTTGTAGGTTGATCACGATTTCGTGACTGAAGGTGAGCGGATAAAATTCTTGGACCAACAGTAACAAGTGATACTAACCTTCTGTACTCTGGGTACATAAGTGGTTTTATTTATTTGTTTATTTGGACACATGAATATTGGTACAGGGGAGCGCCAATATATATGCGCCACACAAAACAATGAAAATTCGAGAGGAATACAAAGAAAAAAAAAGCTAAAAAGCGCAACAAAAAAAAGAGAGAACAATAACGAAGAGATTGGTGTAAGGTAATGTGCTAGTAATCAGGGAACGCAAAGGTACAATCGGAAGAAATCTTTCAGGTTAGGGAGACACAACCACTGTTTATGAAGAAAGTAAAAGAAGGTTACAGCAGGATCGCCACTGGCTTCTATTCTGAGCCATATCTGATAACGTCTCTAGTCACTGTGTAGCACCATCTCTCAGACCCCAACCAGGGAGTCGTGAAGAACCAACACACGCCAGTCCTTTGCAGCTTTCTTTCATGCCACGACACCATGTCATGCACTGACCACCTCTCCGCTTCTTCCAACCAGTCCCAGAGTCGGCAAATAATGCACGACGTGGAATTCTCTGGGACGACATTCGGAGAACATGTCCAAGCCACCGAAGTCGGTGTTTCAAGATGGTGACACCAATTGAATTATCATCTCTGTGCCCGAACACACGATGCCGAACCTCTGCATTACTGACATGGTGTTGCCACTGAATGTCAGCAATCCTTCGGAGACAGCGATGATCGAACACAGAGAGTCGTCTAACGTCCTCAACTCGGAGAGGCCAGGTTTCACAAGCATAGAGCAAAACTGCTCTCACCGACGCGTTGTAGATCCGACCTTTTACGGCCAGACTAACATCACGAAGGCGCCATAGATGGCCCAGATTGGCATAAGCCGCTCTGGCTTTCACTATTCGTGCATTGATCTCATCACTCACACCCCCACCAGCACTTATACAGCTACCCAGATACACAAACTTCTCGACTACGTCTATCTGTTCACCATCCAGGGTGAGTACAGGATTGGAATCCTGCCAGTCTTGTAGGAGTACTTTGCACTTCGAAGGTGCAAAGCACATACCATACCTACGGACACTGATTGCCAACTGATTAAGTGCGGATTGCATGCCTTGGGCATTATCGCACAGTAAGACAATATCGTCCGCATACTCAAGGTCGAGAAGTCTTTCTCCAGGCAACAGATCCACACCACCATTACTTACATTCATCAGAGCTGTTTCCAGAATGTCATCGATGGCAAAGTTGAAGAGGAATGGTGAGATTGGGCAACCCTGCCTAACCCCACTACTCGAATGGAACAATGGAGAAAGGTGGTTGTATGCCCTCACTCTGCCTGAGGTGTTTGTATATAGGGCTTTTAGGATGTTAATAAACTTCTCAGGCACACCCTTCTTCAATAGACAATCCCAGAGAACAGTTCTGTCCAACGAATCGAAGGCAGCCCTGATGTCAAGAAACACTACGATTGTTGGCCTTTGATAAGTATGGCGGTGTTCTAACATTTGGCGGAGGGTGAAGATATGATCAATACATCCTCGACCAGAACGAAAACCAGCCTGCTCCTCGCGAGTCAATCTTTCTCGGGTTTTGAACAACCTACGAAGTATGACGGAAGCCAATAGCTTGGACGCAATCGGAAGTAGACTTATCCCCCGATAGTTGTTACAGGAACGACGTGAACCCTTTTTAAAGATAGGGACAACTATCGACTCATTCCATGACGTTGGCACACTCTCTAGTTCCCAAACCTTTGTGAACAACGTCGTCAATTCCTTAGTCAAAAAGTCACCACCATCTTTAAAAAGAGCCGGAGGTAAGTCATCTGGGCCAGGTGATTTGTATCGCTTCAAGAGTTGGAGTTCCTTGCGGACTTCCTCCTCGTTTGGTGGATCAGTCGTCACCGGCCATGGAGGGCAGGACAGTCTGACTGATGTTGCCGGAGCAGCAGGCCAGTTGAACTGCCCTTCGAAAAATTCTGCCCACCGTCCAAGACGTCGATGGATGTTAGTGATTGGCATCCCATCATCCTCGCAGATTGTTTCACTCACACCAGACTTCTTGCTGCCAGTGGCTCGGATGAGCTGGAAGAGCTTCCGGTAATTACCAGATGCAGCTGCTGCTTCCAGCTCATTAGCACGCTTCGACCACCAGGCTTCTCGGTCCTTACGCAAGCTTTGCCCGATTTCCTTACATAACATCCTTCGTTTATGGTCAAACTCACGGTCACCCGGAGTAGACCGACGGGCTTCAATGAGTTGTAAGGAACCAGAAGAAACCCAGTGCTTAAAAGCGGGACGTTTCGCAAACCCACAACTGACTGTACCCGCCATTTTCATGGCGTCATGCAATTGCAACCAATGCTCATCTATACTTTTCGGTGGAGTGGTAGCTAGCCTAGAGGCTAGCTCGGTTCGATACTTACTTGCAACAGAAGTTGCAACCAACTTGCTAACATCAATCCGTTGATGGCGTTCACTTCGTTGTCCACTGAAAAGTAAGGCAAGATTGGCGCAGACCAAGGCATGGTCAGAGTCCAGATAGGTACTCCAAAAGGAGCGTCAGTCTTTTACACAACCACGCCAGCGGTAGCTGATCGCGATGTGATCAATCTGAGTCCAGGCTTGGGACGCAGAGGGAGGACGCCAGGTGGCACATCGGCGATGACTGTGCCGAAAGTTAGTGCTAGCCAGAAACAGGTTGTGGTCTGTGCATAGTTGCAGTAGACGGTCCCCGTTATCTGACCTGCGACCAACGAGTCCCCATCGGCCACCTAAACGACTCTCTTCTGTGCCTAGACGCCCGACCTGAGCATTCAAGTCTCCGGCTAGTACTACAATATCTGTCGAACGCACTTTCTGGAGAAGAACAGATAATTGGTGGTAAAACTCATCCTTGATTGCATCCGGGCTGCAATCTGTCGGGGCATAGGCGGAGATGACGAAAAGACATCGTTTCTCACGCCGATTTCTTCTCACTTTGATGGAACTTTCTAATCTAACAGCACATAACCGACTGTTAATGGGGATCCAATCGACTAGTGCTGCCTCAGCTCTAGCGCTTAGTGCGACACCAACGCCTGCAAGACCAGACGAAGATGCCACAGGGTCCCCGGATAAGCGCACGTAAAACAAGCTTTTTGAAGTGACAGATGTAGAGCGAATTTGTAGTACTTCGCTAGAGTCTTGAATACGGGTCTCGGATAGACAACAAACATCAATATTAAGACTTTCCAAAGACATAGCCAGCCCTATCTGTTGACCAACCTGCATAAGTGTGCGAACGTTGAAGGCAGCCAGTTTGAATGGCGCACGTGGTTTCAGAAAAACTGCTTCAGTACTCATATTCGATGGTAACATACAACTTTCAACCGGACAGTGACTCGAGAACGTTTAGATACAGTCGGATTTCCACCAAAGCCGAGCCGCTGTATAAGTGTGAAAGAGGGTGAATAATGTGGAGTATTTTATTCCTATACCTATCTAATTTTTCACACACAACCGGGTCAAGAAATACAGCTGCTGGGGCCTGATTATATACATGAATTAATGAGGCTGAATAATCAGTTAAATCTGTTCAACAAAAAGAAATACATCAAGGAGAAGTAGATTAATATAGCTGCAAATGAGTTGATGTGAATGAAAGATCATGATAGATCTTATATGATTGATAGAATTAAAATCGAGCAAACACCTTTGAAACCAGACTGATTTTTATGAATGATAAACTTTTTCGATTAAGGTAATCAAAATTTCATTGCCTACAATTGTGATAATTCTAAGAGACTGTCTTAGCTTTATTAACTTCATCCATAAAGAATAATTTACCTGCATAAACTTAATAGAAGGAAAGTTTCAGTTTATAACATATATAATAAATATAAATTGAAGTTGAAAAATTGAACTTAATGTAAGTTATTAACATTTTCAGGAATGTTTTCTTTAAAATTTCTCTCTAAAATTAAATTTCTATAAACAAATAAAATCATTCAGTTTTCAGACAACACATAAATATTGGTACAAAGTGGCATCAAATACATATATGCCACACAATAATAATGAGAATGTGAAGAGATAAAGAAAGTAAGGTGCATGTAGGGAAAAAGAAGTACAATAATGAACAGAAATGACTGTATGATAGTGAAATAATAATAATGGTAGAGACAGTTCAATTCGCAAAATTACAGCGTCAGAGAATCCTTCCAATTAAAGAAGTTACGCCCTTTTTTTAATAAAGTAAAACAAAGTTACACCAGGATTGCCACTGCCTTCTATTCTGATAACGCCTCTAGCCACTGTTTTGCACTATCTCTAGGACCCCAACAACACAATGTCTTAAACCATTGTAATATATTATGTTATTTAAAACAGGAATGTATATAATACAACATTCAACAATTTTAAATAGGTGAACAAAATCTAATGGTATCATATAATGATGTCAGAATAGATCTAAGTAAGATTAGTTATAGATTTATACTTTTTTTAAAACAAAAGCAGCTATTAAAATGGAATAAAAGTCCTTTATTATAATTATTACTGGATTTAAACATGTATGGTCGACATACAAAAACAGAATATTCTCTTTTTTTGGCTGAATATTTATCAAAATATAAATAATAGTTTTAAATTTTCACTATATTTATATATTCTTAGTTAGAATTAGAGATTTCAACTTATAAAGTTTGTTATATCAGGATATGAGAATCACTTTCACAAGTAAATTATCAAATCGCCAACATCAGTAATAACTAATATTTATTTAAATACATAGTTTATTATTGCGAAAATAAGAATAAATTACAAAATATGTATACACATTAACTTACTTACTAGTCGATTGATTGCATTTGTAACGTCTTTAGACTCAGCTTCAGTAGAATGAAGATATTGTCCAAGAATGTTATTTGATGTAGAATAATTCCCAATAAATTGTTGATGTTCAGACAAAGATAAAATGTCAACATCTTCAACTTCTAAACTTTTATTATCTTTGTTGATAACAGATGGATTAGTTTTATTTACATTAGAAATTTGTAAACCTTGTACACTAGTTGTCAATTTTTTTATATCTGTACAATTCTTATTATTATCTGATGACTTGTTATGTATATCAGAATGTTGACGACCACGTAGTGCATGGATTGGCGTGGCATTCGGTGTAAAAACAGTTGGTTTAAGACCTATGGCTCTATCGATAAGCCGGTGTAACTGAGTTGAAGCAGTAGTTAAATTATCACTGACAACAAGTACAACATGGCATACATTTATTAAAAAGGCGACAATCTAAAATTTAAAACAAAAATACATCAAACCAAAAAAAATTATTATGTCACTTAGACTTGGTAGCGTATTGACTTGCTCATAAGATAGTCAAAGACTACGAATTAATCATATAGCGGAAACATGTTTCATGTACATAATGTATACACAAATATGTTGATACACCGAATAAATTTCATAAAGGCGAGTATGACACATATTGTCATAAGAAACACTCATTAAATTAATGATCATATGGCAAAACTAACATTATTGTTAAATAATGTTTTTATCAAGCTAAATTGAGCTAATAATTATAGTAACTGTGTCATAAGACGGTTCATAGATTTCTTCATGTATACTGAACACATCAATGAGAAAGTAAATAATAGTTTGAAAAGATTGATATATAACTAGTAAACCAATTCCCATTTCAAATGATAAAGATTTTAAGATAAGTCATCTTTTGTAAATGTTATTATTCTGTAGTTAGAAGTTATCGATTGATTTATTTACTCAGTTGAACCGCTTCAGAAGTATCCATTGATACAGATAGTATTTAATATAGAAAAAGTAAAAAAGACATGGACTAAATAGTAAGTTTTGTTAGTCTTAAATGGCAAATTTCATGCAATTGGTTCCCTTTATGAATTTAAATAAAGCAAGAACAAATAATGGTGCAGAATAGTATGAATTCATATTATTTCGAGGTTTCTCGTCAGCTGCTTACAAACCAAAATTGTGATAGAATTTTTACATGGAGATAGTGTGAAAACAATTGACACAGATGAGTGTAAATAACTGGGTTACAATAATAATTATAAATATATATATATATGTTATGACTGAAAAATTATTTGCTGCGTATTAAGGGGGGCGAATTATTGATCGGACCAAAAAACGCACAAACACGTAGAACGACCTAGGGTTCTGATTGATCCTGCTTCCCTGTCTAGCCCAGTTAGTTGAGTCCAGAAGACAAGTTTCAGCCTCGGAGATATGAATCATTATATTTCAAACATACTTTGTTTATATACCAATCAAACAAACCACATCGTGCCATAAAAATAGAAAACAACATTTTGTACAATATTCACAAGCAAACAGATATCGACCAATAGAAAATGTCCATTTAAAGTCCAAGGACACCATTGGACTTAATATGATAATTATTGGTCTATTCCTGCGCATCCACAACACCTCTCCTTTTTTTTTGAAGATCCGGAGTTGATATCCGGATTTTGAAATTTTCTGGGTTCATCCTCCCCCACGAAATAACGTTGGGTCCTCATATACCCAAGCAACAGTTAGTCTGATTCGAATTAAAGCATATTTCGCGCATTGAGTAGAGGGTTCACTAAGACTGACTAGATGATGAGGATTAGCGACACCAGACATGAGGTCATTATGGTTTGATTCTTGTGCAACATATTCTTCAGACCTCTTCAAAATTCTATCACTGGATAATAGGTCACTAAAACAAACAGCATCTTTGAAATTCGTATTAGATTTCTGACCATTATTTGATGCACGGGAAACATTTTCTGACACGAGAGGTTCTTCTTGTAAGCTGGATACCTCACATCTTTCAGGCACAGTGGGATTTGAACCCACAACAGGGGATGTTTCTGAATTTGACATTTCTGAACAACTGGGCGGATCATGAATGATTGTCTCGTTTACATCACTGGTCGTCCGGGATTCACAGAGGCTTTTATAGGCAGCTTCATATGTTCTGCAGTTGTTTTCCAGCTCAGTCTGCAGATGAGAAATGAAATTACCAACTTCTGTTGCATTTCCGAAACATGGAAAATTTACCAACAGTGTGCGTAAATTTTCTAAAAAATTCAACTGGCTATTTTTGAAGCACTGCTGTTGTTGCTCAAGTAGAAGCTGTAATTGATCGGAACAGGTAGTCATTTTTTTTCAGTACCAGCAATGAAAATTAACTGTAGGAATAATGACCAATGTTGCTCAAGGACGCTGGTGACAATCTGGATGCTGATTGGTCGAAACAATTAGCCGGAATCGCGTCCAATTACAAGGTTCAAAATTTTTCTCCACCCCGTCGCCAATTGTTATGACGGGTGTGACTGCAGGTTTTGGTAAGCAGCGTTTATTGATCGATTCGGTGAGAGTGACACGGAAAACACGTAAGGGACAACCTAGTGCCCTGATTGGTCCTGCCCCGCTGTCTGTCCTAGCCCAGTTGAGTGAAGAACACAAGTCACAGCCTCTGAGATATGAATCATTATATTTCAAACATACTTTGTTTATATACCAAGCAAACAAACCACATCGTGCCATAAAAATAGAAAACAACATTTTGTACAATATTCACAAGCGAACAGATATCGACCAATAGAAAATGTCCATTTAAAGTCCAAGGACACCATTGGACTTAATATGATAATTATTGGTCTATTCCTGCGCATCCACAACAATATATATGCTAGAACAGGTCAGAGGTCAAAAGGAATTAATTTGGGTTGGGTGGTGTAATAATGGAATTGAATAATCATAAGATAGGTTGCGTAATAATAATTAAATAGAATTTGAAAAGTTAAGATAATTTAAGAGGATCAGGTGGCGGAAATGTGTGAATGATAATGTGGTTTAAGAATTATGTAATAGGGGAGGAGTATAAATATTTTAAAATAAATAATAAAAAATAAAAAGGGGTTACCAGGGTAGTGATAAGTTAATTAAAGTCTCTTTTTGGATGCATAGGTCAGGTTTAAGTTTTTTGATCATGATGGCTTCAGCAAAACGGAGGGTGGTCGTACTTCTTTGTCTATTGATAATTTTGAAAGCATGTGGAATCTCGATGGTGTGCCCGGTGTCAAGTAGATGTCGAGCTATTGCGCTGTTGAAGGCCTTATTCCCTCGCAGCCTCAAATTTTTTGGAACATGCTCAGAAGTGCGGACATGCACTCTTCTCTCAGTTCTTCCAATGTATGTGCTTTGGCACGTACATGTGAATTGGTAGATGCAGTTGGAGCTACTAAGGAAAGAGGGCTTGTCGATTTTGGTTTGTTGAAGTGAGCAGTTCGTTTGCCATACTGTCATAAGTTTTGCTGCTGGGTAGGTGACTTTCAACGCAGAGTTTATTCTGTGATTAATTATTGCAGCAATTTCATCACCTTTGAAACGTAAGTGTAAGAAGCAGGTTTTTCTTTCTACTCCATCGTATTTTGTACGAGAATTGCTTTTTGCATATTTCTGGATAAATTTCAATGGGTATTCATTATCACGTAGAACATTAGTAATCAGATTAATTTCATCATCAAGGTATTCTTTTGAACAGATTTTTTGAGCGCGGTCAAAAAGGGTTCGTACAATACCCTTTTTGTAACTCATTGGGCAGAAACTATGGTAATTGAGATATATACCACTCCAGGTAGTTTTATGGTGGATATGTCTATGTAATTTACCATCAGATGTTCGTCGGATCCCAACATCAAGGAAATGGAATTTGTCTTCGGCTTCTTGTTCCATAGTAAACTCTATGTCCTTGTGTGCTTTATTAAATAGATCGAGTAGTTGAATGGCGTGTTCGTGATTGTCGCAGACGAGGAATGTGTCATCAATATATCTGCAATACAGCGTAGTACCATCGATTGCGTGCTTAAGCATTTTTTGTTCTAGGTTTCCCATAAATATATCTGATGGTAAATTACATAGACATATCCACCATAAAACTACCTGGAGTGGTATATATCTCAATTACCATAGTTTCTGCCCAATGAGTTACAAAAAGGGTATTGTACGAACCCTTTTTGACCGCGCTCAAAAAATCTGTTCAAAAGAATACCTTGATGATGAAATTAATCTGATTACTAATGTTCTACGTGATAATGAATACCCATTGAAATTTATCCAGAAATATGCAAAAAGCAATTCTCGTACAAAATACGATGGAGTAGAAAGAAAAACCTGCTTCTTACACTTACGTTTCAAAGGTGATGAAATTGCTGCAATAATTAATCACAGAATAAACTCTGCGTTGAAAGTCACCTACCCAGCAGCAAAACTTATGACAGTATGGCAAACGAACTGCTCACTTCAACAAACCAAAATCGACAAGCCCTCTTTCCTTAGTAGCTCCAACTGCATCTACCAATTCACATGTACGTGCCAAAGCACATACATTGGAAGAACTGAGAGAAGAGTGCATGTCCGCACTTCTGAGCATGTTCCAAAAAATTTGAGGCTGCGAGGGAATAAGGCCTTCAACAGCGCAATAGCTCGACATCTACTTGACACCGGGCACACCATCGAGATTCCACATGCTTTCAAAATTATCAATAGACAAAGAAGTACGACCACCCTCCGTTTTGCTGAAGCCATCATGATCAAAAAACTTAAACCTGACCTATGCATCCAAAAAGAGACTTTAATTAACTTATCTCTACCCTTGTGACCTCTTTATTTTATTTTATTGATTTTAAAATATTTATACACCTCCATTATCAGATAATTCTTAGAACACACTGTCATTCACACATTTCCACCACCTGATCCTCGTTAATTATCTTAACTTTTCAAATCCTATCTATTTATTATTACGCAACCTATCTTATGATTATTCAATTCCATTATTACACCAACCAACTCGAATTAACTCCTTTTGACCTCTGACCTGTTCTGGTATGAATAGTTTTTATTGTAACCCGGTTATTTACACTCATCTATGTCATTTGTTTTCACTCTATCTCAATGTAAAAATTCTATTACATTTTTGGTTTGTAAGCAGCTGACGTGAAACCTCGAAATAATATGAATTCATAGTGTTCTGCACCAATATTTGTTCTTGCTTTATTTAAATGGCAAAATTATGCTGACACATGTATAAATCTGGTAACTATTCACAAGATATTTTTGCTGACTCAGCAAATTAGTGGATAAACATGAAATTCATTACAAAGAGAAATATTATCAAAGCGTGACATGCGAAGAGGACGCAAACAAATTGAAAAAGAGGCGGAAAACTGCGAAGAAAAACTGGAGCCATAAAACAATAA